ACATCGTGGCTATTGAATTCAAGATTTTATAATTCGATAATTATTCCTTGATTGAATAAACGGGTGCCTGAATTGTACGAAAGTATTATAATCTAGCTTTCGCCCGCAACTCTGTCAAAAAATCAAAAGCAAGTAACCTATGTGTTCTTCCAAACTTTCCTCTACATCTATGCCGAATTTCATCGAGATCCGTTCTTCCGTTTAGGCTACAAACTCTAACAAAGAGCCATCCGTCTAAACTTTCGCATTAATAATTAGTAAGATAAGAAGTATTTTACAATTTTTAAAATCAAACTATACTGTAATTGATTATATACATCTATGAATATGACTAAGAAATACGATGCCATTCTAATTGTATCTAGTTACTTTCCACAAATTTGAGTCGACTATCGCTCTAAGATGCGGTGGTCCGTAGCGCCCGCGATTGGGCTTTGTAATAAACTATGTATTGGTATGTTTTAGGCGCTCATTCACACGCCCTTACTGCGAGATTACTTTCTGGCTGAGAAACATAAATGCAAAGCGCAAAGTTCCAGCAAATGCCTCGTATGCGAAGTCTCAAAGTTATTCCAGGTAACGTGATCAGATTCTTCTTTTTATTGCTTAAAGTTTGTTTTTTTTTTTACATTCAATAGACTATATTTCAATATGTATAAGGTTATGAGAGTCACAATATAGGCATTCCAAGGGGATAGAAATATTTGGTACTATCTCCTGTAATAGACGAAACCGTTATTTACTTTTAATTTCAACATTTGTTTACTACGTTTTCCAGGAGTTTTATTCCGGCGCGAAGACTCCTTTGACCCTGCACAGACTTCTGCACTTAATCTGGACACACGCGCGGCACCTGGCGGGCTACGAGCAGCAAGACGCGCATGAGTTCTTCATCGCCACGCTCGATGTACTGCACAGGTAATGTACACCTTAGTGATGTACAGTTGGGGATACTAGTGGTGTTCTACTTTAAAAGCGACAATCGTTTAAACATTTTAAACCGAGACACGGACTAAAAATTAAATCAACATAGCTTATAAATGAGTCTAAGGAAAAAAGTCGGTTAGTGATAAATGGCTAGTTTCACCTTATTATACTTCTTCGTTTGTACCAGTAACTGATATCTACTTAGTTTGTCTCATTGCAATGAACAAGGCAATTTTTCCTAAAGTGAAACATCGCGGATTTCCGCCACTGTACAATTTAGTGATGTCCGCTTCAGTTATATACAATTTAGTGATGTACATCTCAGTAATGCACTTTAGTCAATCCTCTAAAATGGTGAGCCAAAGATATAGTTGTCTATGGTATTAAAGTATTATTTTATTATTACAGGCATTGCATGAACGGTGTCGAAGATATAGAGAAGAAAGAGAACGGTCGCTGCAACTGTATCATAGATCAGATCTTCACCGGTGGCTTACAGAGTGATGTGGTGTGCACATCTTGTTCCGGT